TGTTTTCTAACAATATTTTTTTTAGACGCGTCTTGTCTCATCCGCTGTAAATACTGATTCAAAAAAGGGTGATTCCCAAGAGACCTAAGTTTCAGATGAAAATGTACAGACTGAATTCAATTTAGATAAAGAAAGCTTAGATCCAACTAGTTTTGAGCAAATCTCGAGTCAAAGCCACAGTTATAATGTAGACGAATATGCTATAGTTGTAATAAAAAAAATATCTATGTACTTTGAACCATATCTTATATGTTCTTATTTTATGTGTTATCCATGAATTGTTTTCTTTTGCAGCTCCGTCCTGTGGCTTCAACTCTTGAGTATCATTCATTGTAAATCATTGATACCAATTGAAATGCAGGAAGAAATAGATCAGTGCCTAGTCAGATACACTGCATGATAAGTAAATGTTCATCACTGTTTTAATGTTACGCAGTTGTGTTGTATTTAATTAACAGAAACCCTTCGTGAAACATATCACCAACGAAGCCGTTAAAGATGCAAAAACCATTTTCTTTCTAATCATTCATAATTAGCATTGGATTTTGTTGGTTTTAGATCTCAAGCTGAGAAAATGGAGAATATATGACTCACTACCTAACCAGATGTATAAGGGAAATACATAAGGCTGACGCTACGGAAGTTGTAAGTATATTCAACTCAATCAAAAGTAACACAATAACACTCGAAGAGTAACACCATACTGCTTCAACTATGCATGTCAATATGTTTGCTAGAGATGCTGTTGATGTATTTACAGTCAAAATCCATAAATGGTCCCTATCGATTACAAAACATGTACCCTCACAAATGAATAGTTTTGATTGCGGCATGTTCGTCTGCAAGTACATGGAAACATTAGTGCAGGCCGAAGAAGTCGACTGGAGTGAGCATATGGATTGGCAGGATGATATAGAACAATTTAAAACTGAATTTGTATATGATATTTGCATATTTTTGAGGACTTCATAGTAAATTTGTATATTTCTATAGGTTACTGTATATCGAATAGCTTCATGGTGTATTCAGGACAGTGAGTCTAATAGGCCATATATGGGGCAAAATGTTCAGATCTTGGAGAATGTTGGTGAGGTGAATGTTCTTCTAGTTCCAAGATCACTGCAAGTACTTACAGAAAAAAATTTTAGAATCAGATGTTTACTACTCTGCAAGAATCAGATGTGCGTTTATGTTTCACTTTCTACTTGACAATGATGTTTAATGATTTCATTTCTTTGTATATTTGTATACTTTTGGAATGATGCTTTTTAAAATAATATAAGGTAGAAAAAACATAAATCATGAATTTATGTTTGTATTTTTAATAAATATAAAAAAATACTTATCCTCGTTAATTTGTCCTATAAAATTTACTTCACAGAGTAATTTACGTGTTATTCACGTGTTATCCACGTGTTATCCGCGTGTTATCTATAAAATTTACTTCACAGAGTAATTTACGTGTTATCCACGTGTTATCCACGTGTTATTCACATGTTATCTATGTGTTATTCAGCGTGTAATACAGTTGATATATATGATAATCAATTTATCCACGTTTGACTAAGCTTAAGACAGAAATATTTGAAAAAAAACATATCATAAACCACCAATTACTTCTTTCTTACAAAGTTTAAAGATGTTACAGTATACCAACATATACAATTTCAATCAATCTATATCTCACTTATGGAATCCATCAATAGTCCAGTGTATGTTTCAGTTGCGGTGCATAGCATTCGTTTCAGTTAGTTGCAGTGCATAGCATTCCTGCAATAGGGGAGTAATACCAAGTTCAATTTGAGTGAATTATTTTATATAAAAGGCAGTCAGATGATACTGAATTTTAGCAACATACCTGGGTCAGACAATCTGTCAAACTTTCCTCGAATGCATCAACAGCTTCATGGCTAGTTGCTGCTTGTTCCATTCCTGAATGCAATGATTAAAATATAGAAGTTGCATTTTACATGGAATGAAGGAAATACTAAATAAAAAAAAATTATACTTTTAGCTTTCTTATTTTTCTCCCAATATCCTTTCAACTTAGATGTAGATGCTCATTTCGGCCTCTTTTTAGCAGGGTCGTTCACATTGTATTCTATATTTGTAACTTTTTTCTTTTTTTTGTTTTCTTTACTTCGGTCGTTTTCCCTGCTAGAGCATCCTCAATGTCTCCAAATAACTTTTTAAACGTCTCCCATAAACACTCCTCAGCTAACTCATTTCCTCGTGCTCTATTAATGAGTTGATATGCAAATTTCTGAGAGCATGACATGAATAGAAGGGCACTTGATGAAACATTATTCAACCCGGAGTCTTTTAGATTTCTGCAACCAAATCTGTTATACATGTCCCTTTTAGCATTGATGGACCACCGCAATAAGAAATACTTCTCCGGAATCACCTTTATTTTGTCGACACTGAGAACAAATAGTGCATGAGAGCACAACAGACCATCATCTCAAATTTTTTGCAACTACATGTAACCTCACAAGTAGCTTTGTCAACTAACACAGTCCAGGGCTGCCATGTCCCCTCATCATTCAATCTCCATACGTAATATTTAGCCTCATTCTCCACTGATACTTCAGCTGTAATCTCATATAAGCTTTCAATAGCTCTTATTCAAACATTGAGTAAAATTTTTTTGTAATGAGACAGTTTACCTCAACACGGGATTGATTTTAACCTTGGGCGTTCTGACGGACTGACCGCATTTGAAATCTTCATCTTTCTCGTTCCGGCGCCACAATTTAATTATGATTTCAAGACCGATAAAATAATCCGTGAGAGAGATAGTTGGCTTTGCAACACCATGACAAATATTATTGACCGACTCACTTCTCTGTGTTGATAAGATTCCCATACCGAATATATCCTTATTAAATGTTGTTGACCATCTATGCCTTATACGGTACATTTCATCTAACCAGACATTGCTTTGTAGTTCTCCTAACTCAATCATTAAGGACCACGTTTCTTCGAACTCCTCCTTAGAATCACACTTGTTTAATCATTTATAAAAAAAACCACAAACGCTCTTATTACGTATTCCGCAGTGTATTTTAGAAGACAGTTTCTTGTAGATATGCCATTGACATAATCTGTGACGTGTTTGTGGGAGACATTCTACAATGACTCTTGCCATTGCTTGTTCTTGATCAATAAAGATTGTTATGGGATATTTGTCTCCCATTATTCAAATGAATGATTTGAATAGCCACGTGAATAATTCAGTAGTCTCATCAGACAAAAATCCAACTCCAAACAGTACGTTCTGCCAATGATGGTTAACCCCCACAAACAGAACACATCATAAGTTATATTTATTTAATCTGTAGCTTGTATCAAAAGTTATCACATCATCGAAACAGTCATAATCCAGCCTGGATAATCCATCACTCCAAAAAATGCTTGCTAACCTACCAGACTCATATGTTTGGAAATCCCAAACAAACATGCTATCCCCAGCTTGCCTCTCCATGAACAATTGTATTAGAGCATTGACATCTCCCTGTTTAATTCTTTGTTTTCTTTCTCTTTGGATGAAATTAAATGTATCTCTTTTAGTGCATTCCAAATTCTCCACACCACCAACCTCTGTGACAATGAAATTGTATGCATGTGTTGCTCTGATTCCTGAACCTGTCATTGATCTCAACACATCTGCATTCAATTGACTTATCATTCTGCTGGAACGAAGAAGATTCTTATCACCACTTTCAACCAAGGGATGATTGTGATTTTCAATGAATTTCGCCACTGTCCAATTGCATTCGAAATCAACAACAAATCGAACCATGGCCTTACAGTCAGTCTTCGTGTCTGTTTTTCTGAACTTAACTGTGTTGTTAGACTCTTTCTTGTAGCCAGCTTTTCCACAAATATAATCTTTGATCTTGAGTTTCTTGGAGTTTGGTCAGTAGGTAGTATGGTCCTTCCGAACAGTGAATCCTACGTGATGTGCATAGACACGATAGCTTTCATATGCTTATTGCTTATTGTGGACAATACTGCTTAGAAACTTCACAACAATTGGATCATTGCAAACGTGTGTTGCCTCACAGGACTGCATAACACTATGATAACATCAGCATAACACAATAATAACACAATAACAGTAATAAATCAAAGATAATAAACAACATAACATTGGAGTATTACCAGAGTAACACCAGAATAACACAAGAGTAACACCAAACATTCACAAGCTTAAAACCATAATAACAAAAAAAAAAAAACACCATTATAATACAAAAAACAACACTGTAGAACCCAATAACACTATATCAACACCAACATCTACATTAGACTAAGCCAACTATTATACTATAGTAAGGGTACTAAATCAAAGGCAAGAAATAACATAACATTGGAGTAATACTAGAGTAACACCAGAATAACACAAAAGTATCACCAAGAAATCACAAGCTTAACACCATAATAACATAAAAAGCGCAGCAGAAAAACAACATAAATGTTACCATATTAACAAAAATATTACTGCCTTCCAAGAAATATAAACACCACAAACAAAATGACAATGCCAGAAACACAATGAAAACCCTATGCTAACATAAAACTAGAGATCATTACAGACTCACTTAATCTTTAAAGTTCAGGCTGAATGATGAGTGTAATTCCTCCAGCATCTCAACGTTCATGGAGACCTCCATCGAAACCTTAGTTGCGGAGTTGCGAACGGAGCTGCGAAATATTTCTTCACCTGCAATAGAACAACCTGCGAATAGAACATTAAGTAGGCGCGAAATATTTTTATGCTGACGGGAAATTTTTCAGGTTTAGGGTCGGGCCAGGTCGTGAATAATATGAAATTTATTTTTCCGTGCTTTAATAGGTGGGGCCGGGCTTTCCACGAGGCGGCATTTGATTGGCTACGGACGTAGGTCTACATGCGTAGTGCTGAGGCAATATTTCTTCCTGGCAGCTATGCTCATATGGTTTCTTGTTCCTTTAAAGTTCGTATTCATGTACAGAGATAAATGGAGCAAGCCAGAAAGGGTCTTGGGACTGGATAATGTGAGGGTTCAAGCGGCATTTGCTTCTGGCGTGGTTTGTGCTGCCGTTGGGGATGATGGATCCTTGTGGGTTTGGGGTAGATCAAAAAGAGGCCAGCTTGGTCTTGGTAAAGGAGTCACTGAAGCCGTCAATCCCACCAAAGTTGAGGCACTTTTAGGGCATGTGATAAGTAAGGTGGGACTTTACCTTAGTAGAAGATCGCATTTGTGACATGCTGTTGATACATAACGCGATATTTACAAGCATGCCACTCAATTCTCATGTATTCACATATCTAGCACTTAAACTTCAATTTTTATATATATGCTACCATATCTATGCATAAAAAGGTGATTTCACTTCTTAAAAGTTAAAATAGTGGTATTTCTTGCGTGATTTGAAATATTTGGCTGTTATAAATGTAAAAATCAAAGTTTAGGTGTTAGATATGTAGATACATAAGAATTGGGTGGTGTGGGTGTAAATGCTCCTTAATACTACTTAATAACTATAAGTTCTATAGCAGAATTTGCATGCTTGTTATTATTATTTATTAGAGGAGACTACTGGAGTGTTTTGGTACTTTTTAGAATTTTAAGATTCAGCTATTTCTATGCTTTTTCTTTGGGTAGGTTTCTCCCATATTTACTCTAGCAAGCTGCATATAATATGGTGCAGTGTTTGAATTATCACTTTAATACTTGCTTTCTAGGTTAAACTAAAAAATATATAATTAAACAAACTGAATTTAGTAAATAAAAGTGTTATATTTGTTGTGTGATCATGAAACAGGTATCTTTTGGATGGGGGCATGTATTAGCTTGTACAAGAGATGGGAAACTGTTTGGGTGGGGCTATGCAGAGAATGGGAGGTTAGGGAAGATGGGGAGGACATTGATTAGCTCGAGTTCTCAAGATCCTAATTCTTATAATTCGTCGGACAAGTCTCTCTCTGTCTTCGAAGTGGCTGAGAAACTTGTCGCTGAAAAGATGGAGAAAGAGAAAAATATGACAATAATTTGGGAGCCTAGTCTTGTTCAAGAACTAAGTTCCTTTGAAGTTTCTGATGTAGCATGTGGACTTGACCATTCGCTGGTTCTCTGCTGTGAGTATTTGTTGCAGTTATTGTGTGTTTTACTGTGTTCTCTCTCTTAATTACATGTATTTATTTTTTGGTGTTAGCTCAAATGATTATTTCATACAAAAATATGCTATATGAATTTTAATCACACTCCCTTGCAATGCATCTAGCAAAGCATAACAATGCAATCAAACCTATACAATGGCTATTGCTCCAAATTAGTTTTTTGGTCATCCCAAATCTTTGGTGGAAAATTGCTTTGTGAATACATTTTTATCTCAAAGATGTTTTTTGTATCACTTTCAGTAAGTAGGATGCCGTCAACATAAAAAAACAGTTTTAAGGAGCCTGAATGTGTATGGCTAACATAGATAATGATATTTAATACTATTGCAAAGGCAATTCTCGACAATGATCTTGGTGAACTTTTTAATCCAACTGCGTGATCTTTTTAATTAGATTTTTATTCTTAGATATGAATAAGTTTAATCTGAAAATTTCTTAGGATTGGATATACATTTAAAATTTTGCCTTATTCTTGTAACTGTATTTCTATAAATAAGTAGTCATCTTAGGGGATTCTCTGGCCTCTATGATGTATGTTTTTATTGTTTTTCTTCGTACAATTGTTACTAGATGCAGTATTAAAGTGAGGCTTGTTTTACATTAATTGGTTGTAATTCATTTCCAATACCCTTTATCCATATTCTATATTAGCTCATGACGAAGCTTTGCATATCACCTAGAGAATTCATCATAAGGTTAGGAATGCGTGAATCAAGTCAACTCTATTCGTGTTTATCTTATTTATTACATTATTTCCAGATATTTGTGGATGGTGTTCTTCTTTTTCATGATTCATTGGCAAAAACCTAAATAATTAACTGCCAAATACAAATTAGCATGTTTTCTTTCGTTTGAATCTTGTAATTAGGCCCTTAAATTCTTCCCCAACAATCAATCCGATCACCCATATGTTGCCAACTTGCAGCAGCACTTGCTCACACCAACCTACTGCCAATCCTGTGGCATTGTTTTGCCCACCAACTGGATCTTCAGGGCTCTAGGTGGTTGTTTGCTAGCAATGCTTCCTTCCTATTGTCATCTCCAAGGCGATTGTCCTCCAAGCTTTGATTTTTAATGTGGAGGAATTAATTTTCGTGCATAATTGTAAATTGATCAGGCTATATGTGGCTGATTACGATCATATGCAATTAACTTGTTGTCTTTTTATTTCAAGAAGGCTTATATCTCAGAGTTTTATACTCTTTTTACATTTTTAAATATTTCTATCTTCCATCTTAATTTCTTATTTAGAGATAAAATATGAAATGAATGTATTTGTGAAACGGTTGATGTAGCTCCAGTAGCAGACACAATTAGAGCGTCGTCTTAGA